AGGAAATATCAGCAGTAAATGGATTATATAAAAGTTATAAGAGCAGAACAAATAAGATGGTGCTGGAAAGATTCTGAATTGTTGCACTTGCTTGTGTTAAAGTGCTAAATTTGCTAGTGCTAATTAAGAAGACATAATTAAATGAATCTGGAGATTCATTTCTGTTATTCATTGTGAGGTCCTGAAAACAGGATAGGTGACTAGTTCTGCTCATTTAATCACTTGCGTTTCAGAGAGGTTTACCTGTGAGTCGGGTTGTGCAGAACGAGATTCTCTCTTCATCTTGTAACTTCTTCATTAGAAATGAGTATTAAACACATACAAAATAATATGGCTGAAGTAATATGGCTGGTAAATCATGTGCTTCCTCAGAAAAAGTGATTTATGTTCAGCCCAGCAGCTAATTAGTCCAATTGTATAGAAAACATAGTAAATAACTTGATTTTTAATCAGGAAGCCCTGCTGAGACCCCCATTTTACTTTCTGAAACTGGTTAGTACTGCAGCTACCCTAAATATAACCTGGCTCAAACTTATTTCTTGCTTAGGTTTTGTAGGATTCTATTATAATTAAAGCTAACTTATTTGCAGTTAAAATATGGACTAGAGTAATATCACTACTGACACTTGGAATTTTGGAATAACAGTGATATATATATATCAAGAAAGATAACACTGACTGCAAGAAGCTGCAAGAATATACTATATGCATCATACTCTTTCTCTAATCATCTTCTACCAGTTCCAGTCAGAGATAATATGCTGGTCATACAGCAAATCTTTGACCTGATATAGAAATGTTACAGTTCTTGGTTTTACTTCAGGATTTCTTTCTGAGACTCTACCTGTTTTGCAAGTCTGATTTTCAAAAATCTTGTATCATAGATAATAACGTGTTGCAGATGGCGTAATAGGTAGCTTATGCAGTACAAAAAGTAGATATATCCTGTTTACGCCTTTTGTAGTCAATTCTTGCCAAAGCATTTGCATTTTATTTACAGTTTCTGCAAAATTGTGAGGGAGCTGTGTTCGTCTCCCCCCAGTAGCAAAGGTATTTGATTTCAGTTCATCAGAACTTCAGAATGTTTTTTAGATAAAGTTGCCCAGCCTTCCTCTGATCCATCTCCTATATTCACACAGAAAATTAGAACTACTTTGTTCTCTTTAAATTGATTGACAGTATTTTCTGGAAGGTTGCTGTAACTGTCCTGCCTTGATTTGTGACATCAATAACCTAATAGTTTGTGTTACAGTTTCCACCTTCTGGTTGAAGTATTAATAATTCTGACAGTTTTTAACGGGGACGCAGTTAAATCCCAGAGCACACAATTTTTAATGAGCTCTCTGATCAGCATCTGACCCACTCTCCTAGGGAACATCCTAATCCGCTATTTTTCCACGAGCATGAAACAGTCTCTGGGAGGGCTCTGGTTTCATGTCTAGGGGCTGCACAGCTTGGGAGACCCAGCGTACTGATTGCTCCCAGTTGTCTTTCCGCCTGATATCCAGAGAGCTGAGCTTCTCCTGAGGCAGCTGTGAAGGGAGCCAGTTTACAGCAGAGCAAATTACAATTACAACGAATGCTCAGCTGGGCGACGGCAGCCAGCTGAGGACTGTGACTGCGTTCGGTGTCCCCAGCAATGCTGAGCACCTGTGATTTACTGTCCCAAATGGGAGGAAGACAATGTTGCCACCCCAGTGGACCCTATGCAGGGCGCTACTGCATCTAAATAGAGATAAAAACCCTCCTGCCTCTTCACAAACTGCAGTCATTTGAACCCATCCGCTAGTATTAACTTGCCCAGAACATGTAATTACGAGCTGTGCTCGCTGGCTCAGAGCGGTTTAGGTGCTTGACCTGATCTTCTAGTAATACACGAAGGGGAGTTTTGCTGACTATGGAGGTTTTAGGGTGGCTGCTTGAGACATTCAGGAATCTGAGAGCTGAAATAAGGTTTGGGGGATTTTTTTTTCTTGCTTCTTATTAGCATGTCTGTCCTTTAATAACATTTTATATTATTTCTCAAGTAAGTTTGAAGTTCAGGACAGATCATCTCTTGTTTCATGTACGCCGAAATGAGAATAAATAAATTAATAAACAATTCACTTATGTTGCTTACTTTATTCCAGATTAAGGTTAACATCTCCTATTTTTAAAACACAGTCATCAGTCTTTTGATATGATATTGCTCCAGATCATTTAATCTGTACAGTTCCTTCAGAAAAAATATTTCAGAATCCTTAACAAAACATTCCTGGAACAAGAATTCATTCTGCATTTCACCCTTTCAGCCTCAGAAATCAACTGGGTTTGTTGCATGTGTATATTGTTTTGTTTGGCTCATTTTTCCCTTAGTTTAGAGATCAGAAAATGAATCTGTATTGTAAAAATAAGCTTTGTGTGGGTCTAAGGAGAAAAAGAGGGGAGGGAATGGGGAACATTCCATCAAATATGGGTTATATTTAACAGCTTTATTAACAGTGTGCTTTAGATACTTTGCATTAGAACTTAACATAAAGAATGCTGAATGAATGCCAAAATCAACGGTATTGTTAGATAAATGGAATCTCTGTGCCCACACTCTGATTTATTCTGACATAAAATTGCTTGCCTGCAATTTAAGTCTCATTATTCTACTCTAAGACATAAGTAAACACCGATCATAAGGATTTAAATTATCATAATGATTTGTATAAATTCTATGATCAATTTTTATTCACCTAGTTTTATGCTTCTAATTGGCATGACATATTCATATTAATATTGTTAATTGCCACAGGCACATATTAAATACTCTGTTTTTGTCTCATCCCAGTATCAGCCTGAATTTACTTACTTACAGATTGATTGTCTTCCACAATCTGTTCCATTTTCTTATTACATTTTCTTTCTTGTTCTATTTACTCACCTTTACCTTCCTTTGTCCACTGAGTCATGCTACCCTCTTCATACTGTAGCTGACATTTATTTTTATAAACAAAAACACAAGGGTGTTGAAAGGAAGGACTGAGGAAAAAGAGGGACACACTCTCAAAGAAAAGCACACACTAATTTTCCAAGTGCGAGGATGATGACATAGACACCGGAACATCTTAGCTCAGAACTCCACAATTATTTCATATCTACCTCTGCTATATTACCACATACTAGTAACTTCATAAAATTTTCCTCTTTCAGTCTAAAAGTTACCATTTGGTCTCTGACTGAAGGTGAAATGTCCTGAAAAGCTTGCGCAGAAGAAATTGGTAGCTTTTTATAAGGACTGTATAGAGACTGGAGAAGAGAAGACTGAGAGGCGATCTCATAAATGTGTACAAGTATCTCAAGGAAGGGTGTCAAGACGATGGGGCCAGTCTCTTCTCCGTGGTGCCCAGCGACAGGACAAGAGGCAACGGGCACAAAGTGAAACATAACAAGCTCCATCTAAACCTGAGGAAAAACTTCTTCACTGTGAGGGTGACAGAGCACTGGACCAGGTTGCCCAGAGAGGTAGTGGAGTCTCCTTCCCTGGAGATGTTCCAAACCTGCCTGGACGCGATCCTGGGTAATGTGCTCTGGGTGACCCTGCTTGAGCAGGGGGGTTGGACTAGATGATCTCCAGAGGTCCCTTCCAACCTCAGCCATTCTGTGATTCTGTGAAAACAAGTCATGTTTTCTCAAAAATAAATTAATTTAAAGTTCCAAAAAACTAAAACTCTTCCCCTTTTTTTTGTATAATTCTGTGTTTTAAAAAGGGAAATAAATAAATAGGTGAACCTGAAAATATCACTTAATCAAATGAGCAAAGTGTAATGGCTATTTACCCAATTAAGAAATCAAGAGGGAGAAAATGCCAAAGGTTGCAAGCATAACCTTACTTCCATGAGTCTTTATTCTAGCCATAGCTGTTGGTTATCTGGTCAAAATAAACGATTCTGTTCCCTACTCCCTGTTTACCTACCTCGATGCTCAGATCAAGCTGAAGCCATGTTGAACAACTATTCAGAAATGGCTCCATTTCAGTGCATGGCTTGAAGCAATTGCCCAGTTTTGTCCACAGGACAGGTTATTTACTCACAAACTGGTCTTTTACTAAAGCAATAGAATATAGAACCCTACTTTACCTACTCTTTGTTTAACCCATTAACAAACATATGGTAATTATGCTAGTAAGGACTGTTAACAAAGTACATATTTGCACAGACAGTCCTAACTAAAAATGTTCCTCCATGTAGAGAGCTCACTCCACAATTCTTAGCATTTGTTTAATGCAGTTTTCTGCATGCAATATATATGCACACTAGTAAAAAACACTTACCGCCTCTCGTTTATATAGATATGAAATAGTGAGATATAATTATATCTCACTAATATAATATATAATATATAATATATAATATATATATATAATATATGTATATAATATAATATAACAATATATAATTATATACCTGTCTTCCCTAAGTGCATTTCACCTGTGAGGTGTGAAGGAACATAATAAATATTTTGATTGCCAAATTAAGAAATAAGAAGTCAGGAAGGGCCATAACTGAGTTGTTCATTTGTCCTTTATTCTGTTGCTTTATATATTCCCACATATGTCATAGGATGCATTATGTAATTAAATGAGTATACATTCATTTTTCTTCAGGAAAATTGTACATTTGCAAGCTCTGCATGCAAAATATTTAATTCTTGTGCAGAATCCAATTACTTCCTGAAAGCAATTTGCCTGTACAGTCTTTTAAAATATTGGCCTAATTAATTAGAATAATCTAGTTGTATTATTCTGATTTCACTCTGATACTAAAAATGGTAAGCTCCTCATGCTAAAAGAGATCTCTTGTTTTCATTTTTCTCCTTTGGAATTTGTCTTTTGTACATCTAATTGCAGAGCATAGCTGGATATTTCTCAGTCTCTGTTAATTTGTCTTGTTGGTGGCCTTTGAAGATTTCATCAAATGATTTAACATTACCTAAGCAAGAAGTAAGTAACCATG